TACACACACACACACACACACACACACACACACACAAACACACACACACACTCAAACACACGCGCGCATGATGTGCTCAACCCTCATATTCTGACACTTACTGCAACACACGTAATGTGTTCAGTCCTAGTGTTCTGTCACTTACGGCAACAGACACTTACATGGTGTGGTCAATCCTTATACAAGCCCCATGGCTTTTGTCTGCTCTCTAGCCATTGTAGAATACTTTACATTTAAGCAGCATCACCACTTCGAAGCGCCCCCCCCCCCCCTTGTCAATTGTATTATTTTTACCTGTATTGATTTATGGGGCAATCAACTCAATTAATATCAAAGTACCAAATTATGTTCTCCAAATTCGAGGAGACTGGGAAAAGGGTATGTATCTTACCGGGGTGGGGGAGGGGGGCACTAAAATAGGCGAAGAAAGCTGGAGAAAAAAAACACTGATGTATTAAATAATCAAACACAAATAAATAAATCTAATCATTGTTGTTTATATTCTCCTATTGTTCCATCTTAGTGTTGAAATATCATTGTACCTACTGGCTCACATTCTCATAGTTCAATGATTGTGTAATACGAATAATAGCCTTTACGTATCACTCTGAAGTCTAGGCGCTCTTGGGGATGTACCGAAAAAGGGACATGGGGCCCAAAAAATCCCTCTGAAATGGGCATGGTATATTATTTCTCCTTGCTTACTTTATATATCCAGTCCAGCTGTTTTTCTTGAAGCCATATGTCCTCAAAATTTGGTATCCTAAAACCTCACCGCCAAGAACCCACATATCTAATGGCCTATTTAAGTATGGTAAAACTCATACAAAATAGTGGGGGGTTGGCGGGCGCTCTGGCTTGATTTGCTCCTTCATTATTATTAAACATCTGTTGTCCTTCTCTTGCCTTCTTTTCTTTGTTTGTCGCTCTCTGGTATCACCTCTAATCTTCGTCTCGAAGACTTATGACTCTTATTAAAACTAAACTAAACGCATATGAAAATAAAAAGAGGCCTCAGAGTACTTCTTACATAAAATGCAATTAAACGAACTTAGTGGGTGGATGGCGGGTGCTCTGGTGTGGTTTGCTTCTTCTTTCCTATTAAACATCTATCGTCCTTATCTCCCCTTCTTCTTGTTTTATATTTGTTACTCTCTTGTAACACCTCTAATCTTCTGGCGCTCATATGACCTTATACAATTGCGAGCGCCGTAAAACCTCTACTAAAACTATTTTTTTTTAAACGAACTTCAGAAAACTGAGGAAAACTGTACCGTTTTCTGCGAATGCCAAAGACAGATAATCTTACCGCCCAGTTACACCCTTTTAATGTTGCATGTCGTCGGTCTCTCATCTTTACGTTCGGGTTTGTTTTGCTTTTAGTTTTTGCTTTTGGCTTGTTTTTATTTGATGTTGATTTTTTAAACTTCTTAAAACCTCAGAAGTAACAAAAGTTGGAACACGGAGATAGCACAACTATTTTAAACTCACCGTTACTTGTTTTCAGATGTTCGTCTACGTGGCCCGCGAAATCAGTGAGCTCTACTTTGTCTCCCGAGCAGACGAGTCGCGCAGCAGCGTTGAGTGGTGCAAAGGTCAGAGGAGAACTACTTGCATGACGTGTGTATTTATACGCGTCTGTTCTTTCTCTGCCCACTAAGTAACGGCGGTCTCTCCAGCGCCACAATTTCATTGGCTGAGCAGATTCCATCGCCAACAGAATGATTGGGAGGGTTAGTGTCGGGCTGATACCACCATTCATTCGGCTGAAGTCGATACCCAGAATTTTTTTTTCAGAGAACATGTTATGTCGATACTGAGTATTGTGTCTAAAACTACCGAAAACAAGAACAACAACAACAGCAACAACAACAACAACAATAATAATAATAATAAAAATTATTATTATTATTATTATTATTATTATTATTATTATTATTATTATTATTATTATTAAAATGAAAATACTAATGAATATAATAATGATAACAACAAAAATAAAAAATAACAATGGCAATAAAGTGATTTATCATCATTATCATTTTTATTATTATTATTATTATTATTATTATTATTATTATTGTTGTTGTTGTTGTTGTTATTGTTGTTATCGTTGTTTTTATTAACATTATCGTCTTTTATCATTATTATCATCATCGTTGTTATAGCAATAGCAATATTTCATTATGTAGCTGTAATAATAAAAGGATAATAATTACATCCACAAATACAACAACAACAACAACAACAACAACAACAACAACAACAACAACAACAGCAGCAGCAGCAGCAGCAGCAGCAGCAGCAGCAGCAACAACAACCAGTGGCGGTAATAATGGTGTTACAGTCCATTGCACTAAATGTGCTTTCTTGACTCACTAATAATTGTTACTTTTAAAAATAATCTCATAGTCGCCAAATTCTTACGAATTAAATGGGGAAAATGCACTTTCATAAAGCTATCATAGCTAAACACAGTCTAAGATGGTCTAAAGGCGATATATCAAAGAGAATGAACTGTACAAGTGATAAGTGGGTGGTTGGTGGGTGCTCTGGTGTGGTTTGCTCCTTCCTTCCTATCAAACATCTATCGTCCTTATCTCTCCTCCTTTTGTTGTGTGTATGTTAGTGTCTTGTAACAAATCTATTCTTCGGCACTTATATAACCTTATGGTGTTGTAAGTTCCGTAAAACTCTTGCGAAAACCAAACTGTACAAAGGATTATACTACATGTTCCCATAAACTGTTTCCATGCGCTTTTTCTATTTTTTACTTTTATGGCACTGACCAAGACGTCCACCTTTCTTTAGTTTTAGTAGAGGTTTTACGGCGCTTGCAACTGCATAAGGTCATATGGGCGCCAGAAGATTCGAGGTGTTACAAGAGAGTAACAAACACAAAAAAAGAAGAAGCGGAGATACTGAATTTAGATGTTTGATAGGAAAGAAGAAGCAAACCACACCAGAGCACCCGCCTACCACCCACTTGCCCTTTTTCTGCTTTACTAAAATGACATTGACCAAGATGTCCACCTTTCTAAAACAATCGTTTTCCTCCTGGTCGTCTTGGACAATTCCGACCATAATATAAAACCTCTCATAGTCATACTCGCTCATGGCCACCAACACCGGCCAGCGGCTTGCTTTGTGTCGATTCCTCACGGGTGTCGATACCATCCAAGCTTTACTGAAGGTAAATCTGGCAATTCCTTCCGCAAACATGGCTCAACCTCCCTTCATTTCAACACAAGTGGAAGCAATTTTATTCTTTCCCGGCATTTCTATAGATGTATTAGGGCTTTTGTAAGTTTAGTCGGGTTGGGTCTTTTCTCTTTAAAAGGGGGTGGGGGTAGGGGTGGAGGGTGGTTTATTTTGGGGGTTTGTTTCATTTTGGTTTTGCTTTGTTTTTGTTTTTGTTTTGTATTTCGTAACCCTTAACTGTGAACTCGGAATCCCATTCCTTTTTTTTTCTTTTTCCTACTTCTCTGTTCTCTCTCTCTCTCTCTCTCTCTCTCTCTCTCTCTCTCTCTCTCTCTCTCTCTCTCTCTCTCTCTCTCTCTCTCTCTCTCTCTCTTTCTTTCTTTCTTTCTTTCTCACTGTCCCCTCTCTCTCTCTCTCTCTCTCTCTCTCTCTTTCTTTCTTTCTTTCTCTCTCCCCCCCCCCTCTTCTTCTTCTTCTTCTTCTTCTTCTTCTTCTTCTTCTTCTTCTTCTTCTTCTTCTTCTTATATATATATATATATATATATATATATATATATATATATATATATAAATATATATATATATATATATATACATATATAATATATATATAATGTCACATTGTCTTGAAAACACTCCGGTGTTTTTACATGTATGCATCTTTGTGTGTGCTTGTCTGTGTGTGTTTGTGTTCTTGTATATGATTGAGAAGGCATGTCCATTCGTGCGTGCGTGTGTGTGCGTGTGTGTGTGTATGTATGTGTGTGTGTGTCTATGTGTGCGTGTGCGTGTTTGTGTGTGTGAGTGTGTTCGGAAGTATGTGTGCATGTGCATGTGTATACCTGCACGGCCGTGTGGGCAATGTCTGCGTGCATTTGTGTGTATGTGTGTGTTTGTGTGTGTTTGTGTGTGTGTGAGTGCGTGTGTGTGTGTGTGCGTGCGCGCGCGTGTGTGTGTGTGCGCGCGCGCGCGTGTGTGTGTGTGTGTGTGTGTGTGTGTGTGTGTGTGTGTGTGTGTGTGTGTGTGTGTTGCCAAGCATTTATCATTGACATGCATTATAAACCATTGAAAACTTTTGAAAAACTAGACATAGTTGGAAACGTTTTAGAACTATCAGAATGTTGCGTAAAAGTAAAATAACAAGTAAAATTGTAAGTAAAATTGTGAGCTAGAAGCGACTTTCTCGAACGGCGCTGGCGATCCACATGTGGACACGTATGGTGACCCAGAATGTTCGTACTTGGTCAAGTAAGTTCCAAATATAGAACTTAAGTTTACTTTTACCGAAATTGTACTGGGAACGCTGCTATGCTAATCGGGGCAGATGATACCGAACATGACATTTTCTTTTCAAATATTAATTTTAAGGAGTTAAGCAAGGCTTTTCTATATTGACCAGAGCTATTTAGAACTTGCCCACGGAAATAGACCAAGAGGAAGGCCAAAATTGAGGTTTAGAGACTCCTGCAACAACAGCCTATCTAAGCTTGGTGTCGATGTCATCACCTTGGAAGAAATAGCCGAAGACAAGAAAACATAGAGGAAATGATAAAGGAAAGAACTACAATGCTAGAGAGCAGCTTTAGAAACAACCAGGTTGCGAAGCGCCAACGACGAAAGGAAAACAGCGGAAATACAGAGCTTCGATCCACGTCACTGAAATGCAAGCACTGCGACAGAATCTGCGCTTCAATATCAGAAAGAATTAGCCATGAAATGAGCTGCATGAAGACAACCGTGGGACCATCTTAAGCTAAATTGACCGTCTGCATAAATGAAAAGAGCCATACATTTAAGCAAAGAATCAATCCTCTGAAATATTGAAAAAGTCAAAGTCTCAAACTAAACGGAAAGAAATATCAATCACTTCAGATATGCTAAAGGGGCAGTCTTATTTGCTTATTCAGAAAACAAGACTTTCAGCTTCATCTTCAGGTGTCTATGATGTAGCCTCTTGCTGTCATGTTGCGTTCAGGAGACCCAAGTTCGATTCCGGAAAGGGGAGGATTTTTTTTTTATCGAGTATCTCTGTCTTTCTGCTGGGATGATGTATGTATCCCTCTCTCCATCACCCCCGGGTTGGCCCTGACAGACATGGTCGGAATCTCGCCTCCAAAATGACGTAAAACATGTCGATTGATGCGTAAAAGCACATAATTGTTTTTTTTTTAATGTGGTCCCTAAGTTTTCTCTGAGTTCTTTTCTTGTCTCCTTTGGTTGGTGTGTTTTCACAGTTCAAACTCTCTGGTACCCTGTGCTCGAACGTGGAAGCAAAGCTGATGAAACTTAAGGCGGAATTGTACGACTTCAAGTGGGGAAACAAAATGGCGCCCGTCTGTAGACAGATCGTTCAGCTAACTACGTCATCACAAGAGGCCCTTGGAACCACACCGCGCGGGAAACTAGCACACGATTTGGCCTGATGGGAAAATACATGCCTGAAAAGATTCCAAATTGTCTTGTCAGTATGTTAGTGTTTTAGCGCCTATAAATGGCCGCTTGCACTGAATGCTTCCCAGGACGTTGAGGTTGTTTCAGAATGCTCTCAGGCCTGCTGGGGTAATAGTATAGATTGTGAAGCGCATAGAGCGTGCTGTTGAGCGGGGATTTGCGCTATACAAATGCTATCTATAATTATTATTATTACTTTTCGGCAGGCCCGCCGTGCCTGTTCCTATCTGATAGCGCTTTTGTATCAAATAACCAAAACAGAATGTGTAAATGTCACCCTCATAATGTCGCAGTGAGAGATGGTTGACAAAATTAACAGTAGAAAAAAAAGTGTGAAAACAATAAGTTTGTTAATTCCTGTTTGTTATCGTTACCAAGGCTGCTTACATCGCCGATGTTCTTGAACTAATCTAGATCTATTATTAATAATAATAATAATAATAATAATAATAATAATAATAATAGACTACATTTCTCTGCTTCTCTCTCTCTCTCTCTTCCTCTCTCTCTCTCTCTATCTATCTATCTATATCTATCTATCTATCTATCTATCTGTTTGTCTCTCTCCCCTCTCCTCTCTTCTCTCTCCCTGTCTCTCTCACTCTTTTTCAATTTCTCTCACTCTCTCTCTCTCTCTCTCTCTCTCTCTCTCTCTCTTCTGTCTCTTCGTTCTCTTACTCTCTCTCTCTCTCTCTCTCTCTCTCTCTCTCTCTCTCTCTCTCTCTCTCTCTCTCTCTCTCTAAGCTGTAGAATAACGTCACTGTGTCCGAATCGATGGTTATTACCTCTGTGCGTTTTGTTCTAGTCTCCGTCAACAAAACAAAATGTCTGGATCTGAATCTTTACATTCCTAAACTAAGCACAACGTCAACAACACCATTAAGGAGATCAACAACAACGTCGACAGACAACAACAACAACAACTTCCAAAACACTACAACCACTACAATCACTTACTTTACTTTTGCTTTTACTTTTTCAT